GGAAAAGGATCTTGGAGTCATTATTTACTCCAAGATGAAGATGGCTCGGCAGTGTGGGGAGGCGGCTAGGAAGGCCAGCTGTACCTTGTCGTGCATCCACAGATGCATTTCAGGCAGGACCAAGGAGGTGATCCTTCCCCTCTATGCGGCACTGGTCAGGCCGCAGCTGGAGTACTGCGTCCAGTTCTGGGAGCCGCACTTTCATCTTTAAGAGGACAGCATCGAGAGGGTCCAGAGGAGGGCCACTCGCATGATCAAGGGACAGCAGGGCAGGTCCTATGAGGAAAGGGTACGGGACCTGAACCTGTTCAGCCTCCAGAAGAGAAGGCTGAGGGGGGATCTTGTGGCCTGCTATAAACTAGTCAGGGGGGATCAACAGGCACTGGGGGAGTCCCTGTTCCCCTGAGCGCCGCCAGGAGTGACCAGGAATAACGGTCACAAGCTGGTGGGGGGAAGATTTAAGTTGGACATCAGGAGGCGCTACTTCACGGTCAGGGCGGCCAGGGTCTGGAACCAGCTTCCAAGTGAGGTGGTGCAGGCTCCCCCCCTGGGGGTTTTTAAGAGGAGGTTAGATGACCATCTTGCTGGGGTCGTTTGACCCCAGTACTCTTTCCTGCCATGGCAGGGGGTCGGACTAGATGATCTGCCCAGGTCCTTTCCAACCCTAGAAACTATGAAACTATTATTTTTTTGTTAAATATTTCTCTTTGAAGACTTATAATTGTAAAGGGAAATATCTTCCAAATTCTTTTTTAGTCAAAGGCCATAAAATTAGAACCTTCTGCTAAATATGGGAAAATGTGTGGTTTTTTTTTTTTTTTTTTTTTTTTTTTACTTGTCTTCTCAAGCAATTAAGTCCACTCAGTGAAATGTGTAATCTAAATCTCTTGTTTGGCTGTTTAGTGATTAAGGCCATAAAATCAGAGAATAAACTTTTGTACTTGGGTCAAATACTTTGGGATTATCAAATTCTTTTCTGTAAACATATATGTACTTAATACACTTGACTTTACATATAGAAGCAGCCCCCTGATAGCCATAAATGTTTGCAAGATTAAGACCATTGTAATAGTATTAGGTCTTATACATTTATTTAGCTAGATTTTTAAACTGTTTAATACTTAATCTGAGGGAATCAGAAGTCCTTCCTAGGAGCTAAAAATACGGTTTATGAACTCTCCAATTTAATTCTGAAAGGCCCTCTCTGATGTAGACTGCAGCTGTTTAACAACACTCAAAAATACTTTATGATAAGTTTTACAAGAAGTGATGAACATAACATTTAGTTGAAATTTAAGTTTGAATTTAGATAGGGCACAATTACTCACATAGGAATTTGCACTGGGGTAACAGGTTTAACACCTTACAGAAAGCATCTTTAGAGAGTTTCCAAAGGGTTTATGAAAACTGGAATCTTGTCTTTCTTACCAACTTTACAATGTAAAACCAAAGCTAGAAAGGTTCTTAAATGTGTCACATTTATTCAAATACCATGTTTACCTTTTCCCCAAAAATAATCCTTTCAAAATTTGGGGTGCATATCTTAGGTGGGAAGCTGATTTTCTGCCCAAAATAAGAAGCTTGGAGATGCTTCAGATGGATGGCTGCTGCTTCTTTTCGCTCTGGCAGTTGCATGAAAAGAGGGGGACTCCAGCAGAAGCAGATCCGGACAGTGGTGGTGTACAGTGGTGTAGTCATGCTCCGCTTTGATTTCTGCTCCAATCAAAGTTTAAAACCAACTGCCCAGCTGTGAAGTAACATTTCTATTCAGGCAGTGCTGATGGAGTCAGCTGACTTCATGGCTCATTATAATCTATTTCCATGGGGGCCAACCTTTCTGACAAATTAGCCCCATGCCCTCCCTGAGTGCCACTTTGACCCCCTTCCTCTGCCCAATCTGCTGCTTTCTGCTCCCTACATTGTACTCCCTGACTGATCTCCTGCTCTGCTTTCTGCTTCCTGTCCTGTTGCCTACTGTGCTGCCTATCCTTCACCTGATCTGCTGGGTGCCACACACAAAGGCTGCTTGTGCCACTTGTAGTTGCTTGCACCGAGATCTACTTGATTCCTGCTAATTGTTCTTTACTCCACAGACATGGGTGACTGGTGCCTCCTGATCTTGGGGTGGCACCAGCAGCTGATTGCTGATCAGGTTGGGGGGGTCCCCCAGTGGCCAATCGCTGACTGGGTGGGGGGGGTCCTCCAGTGTCCGATCTCCGCTGCTGGCAGAACTGCCAGCAGCAAACCGAGAAGTGCTGCCGGCGCTTCTCTCGGTGCTCCCACATTCTCAGGGGGGCACCAGCCATTGCCCCGCACTCCCTGGCCAGTGAGGGCCAATCTCAGGGGGGGCACATGACCCCCCATACCTCCCTTATATGTCGCCTGTGTCCACAGGTGTTAATAGTTTCCACTCCTTTTTAATGGCCTTGATATTCCACTAATCAAAGTATGCTTTCTTCAGCAATTTTGCTCTCTGTTAGCTACTTCTGGTCTCTCTTCTTCTATTACACAGTCTAGAAGACTGTTTTTGACTCTTCAGAATCATAATTCCGCCCATGGATTCCAGTCTTCTGCAGCAGGCAAGGGCTGCTGACAGTTCAGCTGTGAAAGGGTTAAAACTAAATTTTGCCTGAGCAGGAAAGGGAAGGCGAGTGAGCTGAAGATTAGACTGTCCCTGCTCTATGTGGCCATAATTCTGGAAAAATATTTTTTCTTACTTCCTCCTTTCCAAAAACAAGGTGTGTGTCTTGTCTGGGGGCATGTGGTATGCGAGAAAATTTGGTAAATTTCCTTGTCGCCATGACTGTGACTCTCAGAGACTGAAATCAGGCTTTTTTTTGCTTTTTTCTTATATAATTATTTAAAGATACACACTCATCTCTGGGAACAGGTGCAGCTACTATTTATGGTGTGGTAGAACAAGATTTTCCTGGTGGTTCTAGTATCTGGAAGTGCTGAGATAAATATTGAATGCATCCATTTTGACATTTACAAATTTAGATTAAAATTACTGTTGTTGTCTATCTCTATGACTCTTAATATTGGTGTCGGAGAGCAAAATGATACTCTGGTGTAAGGCCCTATTCTGCTCCCTTTAACTTCCACGGAAACAGGAACTTCTTCCAAGGAACTAAGATAAAGTTTTATCTGCTAGTTTCCCATTATGTCTTCCATTGGTTCTTGCCATTAATGGTAAGAGTCATATTACTTCTGCAGACCAGTCAGGATTATGCATGTCGGCATGTAGCCTGGTTTTCTCTTATTTAAAAAACGCCCTAAATCCACATTTTTCTGAAATTAAAATGAAACACCACTCAATATATTAGATATATCTATATATAAACAAACAAAACCCACATTTCTGCATTTAGTTTTAATCACGGTAAAATGTGGATTTTGTTGGGTCTTTAAAAATCAGAGAAGTTTGGATTTTTTTATTAGAGAAAACCAGGATCTTTGCATATCAGGTCTATTTTTTTCTTCCTTTGTCTGATTTTTTTCCCTTTATTTTCCTACTCCTTTTCATCTTTCCCTCTTGCTTCTCCAAGTGCTCACAGTTTTTTTTAAAATTCTTATGCTCCAGTAACTGTAAACAATTTGCAAAATGTTTCCTGAAGCAGCCTGAAAGTAATGCTTATAATGAGTTTTTAACAGTAACTGGAGGACAGTAATTTCTTTACGATACTGCTTTCTCCTTTGAATTACTACGATAAGATTTTTACTGAGAAACAAGGAAATTTTAATACAAGTGACCATAGTCCATATTACGGACACATTTTTTATTGGTCCATGAAAAAAACATTTCCACCTGTGCAACAGCATTTAAGATAGCATGCTTGCACACATCCAGGAGGATTACAAAATGTTACTAGGAATAATGCACTTTATTGTCAGAGGCAGACTCCCCCCTTTGCCTGTTCCCAGCACTTCAGACAGTCACTGATTTAAAGAAATAAACCTGGTAACAGAGTTGGGAACTCAGGGGCATGCCATAACAGACTGTGTTTGTAGTCTTAGTTCATTGCATACTTAAAGCAGTCATTCTCTACCTTTTAAGACTTGAGGCACCCATTGTTAGATTCAAGGCACCCCTTATTAGACTTGCGACACTCAAAGAATGCCAGCTCTTAGCTTTCACTCATTTTTTGACCATGGAGAAATAGAGCAATTTTTCTATTGCAAAGAATTCAGAAAGACCACAGAAACCACAATGTTTTGACACTGTGGATTTCTGTTTGAGCTATCTGGGCTTATCATGTAAATCACATGTAGGTGTTTGTATCCCACTGTATCCTGGTTGAGAATCACTGGCTTAAGAGTTAAGCATGTTCCTGAATATTTTTTTGTATTAAGATTTTAATTGATGATATGAAACTTTTGCAAGTAAAAAATAAAAACATTGAAAGATATTTTTCCTTTATTTTGAGTTTTACTTACCAAAAATAAACACCTATCTGCATTAAAATGTGTATGGATAAATTTTGAATGGTGCTTATAAATGTGCATTTTGGGATACATTTGCAACAAAGCAGCCATACAAAATTGGATACTAGAATGGAGTTGGGCTTTTTTATAGGATGCCAAAAGGAATCTTGTAAACTAATAAGCACTATCATATAAAATGAGGTCTTCCAGTGATGCAGAACATTATCAATCTGATTACCTTTGGAATGTCAAGTGGGAAAAACTTGTTCAAAATAAAATTATTCATGTTTTGCCTTTTGTTATAGGTTGCTGTATTTTAACAGTGTACAGCACTTAGATCTATGGAAGAGGTGCTGTTTCAGTTGAAGTAAATGTCTTTTACCTTTATTTTATTACAGTCTTCTCTGTTCCCAGTTATTGCAAAGAAAATGTTCTTCAGTCTGCTTTGGCTCTCAGTTGTGCTCTGCAGAATCTATACAGCAGGTAGGGTGAAACATTTATGCATTACCAGCTTATTTCTGCTTTAGGAAACTTATAGAAAAGACAGAAAATTGATTACATTCACAAGAATGACTGAAAGTGTATTGTAAAAATAAGAACATGGGTTAGATATATACCATATGTTGAATTTCCTTCTGGTAAATCCCATTTAGCTGGAGTTGGTAATTGACTGAACAGTGTATAGTATTGTGAAACATGAATTAATCACATGCATTTGTGTTTGATCTTGATCTGTGGTCAGGAAGCTGATGATAAAAACAATACCAGTGTATAGTTGTCGCACACACTTTTGAAAAAATCCCATTAACTGGAGTATTTTTCTTGTCCCATAGCAAATGTGGGTGTATACATTTGAAAGCTAAGTTTAATTTCTATCAGGTAATCAGGATATGGTATTTTTTCTGGCATGAAAAATGTTTGGTTCTACAAAACAAATTAACATAACTTAATGAATAAACTGTAGTACATTTACTGGCACTATATCAATTGAAGCTAAATTTACATATTCAGATTTCAAATTTAATAAATGTTATGTTTATATATTGTTCTCTGTTTAAAAAGCCAGTATTTGCCACCAGTGAACATTTAGTAGTATCTAAGAGTCTAGTTTTTCCCTATCCTTAGAATAAGAAGTAAGAACAACAGTTTGGCAAAATATTAACTTTGGTGATAGATTCCATGTGATTCGCATGTAATTTGTTATGTATTACTTTGAGTTGTTTCTGTGCTTATCACAAGACAGACAATAGAAATCATAGGTGGGGGGAGTTGTCTCAAGCAATTTAGAGTTAAATGAAAGAAACCTATAAAGCTAAGTACAGTCAAAAAGCCCAAGGCTGAATCAATTCAATCTTTGCAGGTTTTTTAAAACTGCATAGATTGAACTAATAAGCAAGTGAAATGATGTTTACTTTTCAAACAGGAAAGTCAGCCAGACCCTTGCAGTGGCCCATACGAATAGTTGGGGGGTGCTAGAGCACCTCCCCCCCCAGCCTGCTGGCCACTGCAGAGAGCTGGAGCCCTCTGGTTCCTCAAGCCATGCTCCCTCCTCAGCCTCCCTGCCAGCTGAGCAAGGGGTTGGGGGGGAAAAAACCTAACCGTCCTGCCTGGCACTGGATCCTCACCTGGGAAGAGCCTGGGGGTGGGGAGGGGAAGCTGAAACTGGGGGCTTTACTCTGCCACTCCCCCACAGCTGGGAGCGGGGTTTGAATCTTGTAGCCACGCCTCCTTCTCAGCCTCCCCATGGGTTGAGGTAGTCGGGGAGGGAAGTCTGCACCTGGACGTGGCTCTGCCCCAGAGCAGAGAGCTAGGAGCCATGCCCCCTCAGCAGCCTGGGTGGGTTGGGGGGAGAGCAGCTCATAGCAGGGGCTTGATTTATGAGTTGGAAGCCAGGAGTCACACCCATTACTCAGCCTCCAGGCTGGATGGGGGGAAAGCCCACAGCGGGGCTTGGCTCTGTCCTGGCTCTATCCCCTGCCAGAGCTGGAAACAGGGCTGGAGTTCCCTAGTTTTGCCCCCTCCTCAGCCTCCAAGCT